TCTAGTGAATATAACTTCAGGTTGTCCTGGTTGTTTAAATATGACCTCTTTTTGAAAACAATCAATCGATGCTCGATTTGCAGCTAAAAAGTTCATAACCAAAATAACATCAAAATCATGGATGCCAAGAGTATTAAATTTACCTTCATCTCGCGCTCATCAAAATCATGCTCAGTATATACTATCTGCTAACAGTGATTTACCTATTAGCGTACCCACTACCAAACAACTGGCTAAAGGTTCTAGCTTTTGATTCGCATATATAGCAAGTGCAAATGAAATAAAAGAATGTGTAGCTCCAAGATCAAATAAAATATGAGCATCTTTATCAAAAACAAATAACATACTCATGATAACATTCGATGACTCTTTTGCTACTTGCTAAATCATAGTAAAAATCTTTCCTAGGGTCTTCGATCGTCCTGCTTGACATTTTGGTTCAGTACTGTTGCCACTTGCAATATTAGATTAGACTGTGCTGCTTGCACATGTTCTAGTAGCTAAAGCGTCTCCATGGGTTTGACTATTTGTCATACTTCCAACACTTTGTTGGGGACTTTCTATGACATGCCACCCTCCTGTAATAAAATTGGATAATTTCTTCTAATAAGTCCACCATGGCCACAATTATAACAGCTACCAACCCCTTTGAACTTTAGACACTCGCCAAAGTGAGGTCTTCCATATAACTGGCAATAAGGAAATTGCGCTTCTACAACTTTCACCCTGTCTTGGAATAAATAATCTTTTAGAAGAACCCTGTATATAAGGGCAGTTGGTCATTGGCTACTGTATAGCACTGTAACTAAATCTGAAATCTTGATTTCCTCGTGATCTAGACTCGAAATGACCTGAATTGGACATACCAGGTCGAAATTGTCTGTTTTCCCTCTGTGGTGGTTTATAGCTAGAAGTACCCACCAATGTCTAGCTACTGCTTATTCTGAACTTTGTCTATTTTCTACCAATTGGTCTATCAGAAATACTCTTCTCTACTATTAAGGCTTATTCAACCAATTTGCCAAATTCGTTCCAACCTCCAGTTGTCACTATTGATCCGATTTCTTCTCTTAACCCACTTTCAAACCGGTCTACACCAATCAATTTCATTGCTAACTAAAATTTGAGAGTACTTTAAAAGCTCAATGAATTCACCTTATATTCAACAACATTCATCTACCCTTGTATTAACTTCAAAAATCCATCCTGCTTTGCGTCTTTATATGAACGAAGGTAATATACATCATAAAAGATATGCATCCTAGTAATAATAGAAGGACCTCGATATGTGCTCTGTACTGACTGTCACCAATCATATGCTCATTTTTCTAACAAAAAAGTGGCGAGCCATAATTTTCGATCATCTGGACAACCCATGACATCAAATACCCTCTCTATCTTGATCATTCATGCCTGAGCAACTGCAAGATCAGTTGTGCCTGTGAAAACTTTAGCCCTCAATTTTAGAGCCCTCTTAATACAAAAATCTAGGTCCGCATTGTGCATAGCTGAAACAACAGTAGTTGCAATTCATTCAACAACAATGAAATCATTTCCAGCTACATTTCCCTATTCCAGATGTTCTGATAGCTAATGAATGGACTCATCCACTCTTTCATGCTCTCTAAGGTCATCTCTATCAGGAGCAATGCGTGTCAGGGGCAACATATCTTGGAGCCTTTAAGTTCTTACACTTCGAGGCATGACTCCTACAATCATGCATCACATGCTAAACATCAAAATGCGTATACAATTCAAGCATATTCACTCCAAACCATGCCCTGATACAAAACTGACACACCCCACTCCTAATAATGCTAGTAGACTCGGAGTGTAACGTGCGCCGATGATAGCTATAAACTAAAAGTTGGACCCACCATCAAGCCTACTACAATATGCAACTTTTATAAATTATTTTTAATAAAATTTCAACGTTATCTCCATTGTAATTTGGACTACAGATTAAGTGAACACTTAACCTCCTCAGCTAAAGGTACTCGTTGAGTAATAATCATTTCTCATATGACACCAATCTTCGTCTCAAATTTTATTTTGTGTAGCTATACAGCCACATGCATCTAGTTGTCAATAGATTGCTAAACATAAAGATTGGTAGTTTCACTATCAAATAGACAAATATCATGATATACAAGTGACGATCAACTAGGTTCTCGATCAATGCCAGTATTAGATTGTGTGTTTCTGAACCCATGGCCATTTAAAATCCTTGTATTCAATGATCAAAACTTGCACTAGAACTCTACCTCTATTCATCAATCAGCTAAGAATCCATCACCTAAGAATCAATAGGTTTGTCAACCTATAAGAACAAAGCATCTTATAACTCCTTAGTCATCGCATTAACACTATCGTTATTCATTTCTTCCTTTTTCTTTTGTGCTATTCAATTTTTCTTCATGTGGCCAATTTTGCCAGACTTTCAGCATTCTACGTTCTATTCAAACTTGGAATTGCTTCTACCTTTCATCCACTTTCTACGTTTGACTTTATTGGAATTTTTTAAAACCTCTTCACCTATTATCGACATTAAAAACAGAACTCGATATTGAGACTTCTCCAGAATATCTTCTGTGAACTTTTTCAACAAGAATAGTATCACAGACATCACTGAATTTCAATTTCACATTGCCTAGAGAGTTATTGACTGCAGCTCCCATAGGCTCCCAATATTTGATAGTGATGTCAATAGAATTAGGGCACACATATTGTCATCAAATTTAATCTCAATTGATACCAACTGATTGATAATTATATTCAATTTATTGTGATGTTCTAATGCTAGAGCACCTTCAACCATCTTTAAATTAAATAATTTTTCATCAGATATACTTTGTTACACGCAGATGGCTTCTCATACAAATCAGACAGTGCCTTCATCAAATTCGTCATAATTTTCTCAGTCGCTACATTTTGACCAACGTTCTTTGACCATGTCAATCGAATAACACCTAATACCAGACGATCAAATAATTTCCATTCATCATCCTTCATTTTTTCCTTCTTTTCATTCAAAAGAGTTTGATGTAGTTTTTTTACTATAGATATAATCCTCGACCGGAATCCTCCATAATGCAAAATTCATATCATCAAACTTGTAGATCCCCAGTGACGTTCTCTCCAGTAGCTGCAATAATCTTCCGATACCAATTATTGAGAATTACAAACCCTAATTTTATTCTATCCAGAGCAATCAATTCAAAAAGAAAAAAGAAAAATAATCACTCAAGAACATGCAAGATTTATAGAGGTTCACTTCAATATGAGACTATGTCATCTCCTGTCGTTGCAGTAATTCACTATAATAAAAAATATTTACATGACAATTGTACTCGTATCTTCAATAGCCTCTATTTCTCTCTTTTTTATTATAATTATAAAGTTTAAAAATGACTCCCTATTTATGAGATAAATTAGGGCAAAATCTAATTATATAAGGACTCCAATTCCTTAATAGAATTTTTCGCAATGGGTATAATTAGGATCGACAATAATTAAGCTTGACAACTTTACACCTCATGTGGTCCTATTTCCTTGCTCCTTTCCCTACGAGTCATAAATTCATGTGCCACGTCTCGTACTCCATTAGAAGTCAATTAATCATAAGATCTTAAGAAACTTCAAGAAATCCAACTAAAATGGTTGATTATGGGTCTTTACAATCGACTAAGAACAATTGTAGACGTCCAAGTTCCTCATCTTTTTCTCCTAGATTGTTAAGTGGTTTGGTCTCTCAATCTATTTTTTCATGATAACAAACCATTGCCTGTTGTGGAAAATCCATTTTGGTCTTATTCAAACATTCCCGCAAAAAGAAAATAGGGAATTGTAACAAAAGGGTACGCATTTGCCAATCTCTTTTTGTGGTTTTTTGATTGTGTTAATGCTGCACCAATGTCAAGTCAAGAGGGGACGGCAAGGCTCCCGAAAATGTGGAAAAATGGAAATGAGCTAGTTTCTTAATTAGAATATGCCCCCTATTTCAATTGTTGTTTCCCCCTTAGAAAATTGTGAATTAGATAGAGTTTTGAACTAGTGGAGATAACTCTCAAGGGACGTTACAGGGAGTGTTCCAATACGTCTATGGCACACACCACACACCCATCGAAAGGCACATGGGCGGACATAAGGGGGTCCTGGGAGGGCAAGTGCCCCCCTAAATTTTGAGAATTTTTTTTTTATATATAAAATCGTGTTTGGTATCGATTGAAATCTAAATCAAAGTTAGCAATTAATTTTAATAACATATTACATGAAATCCATAACTATTTAACTTTTATCAAAATTTATTAAAAATTTGATTTTAATCTCCACCAAACAGGGGTAAAATTACAATAAATTTGAATTTCGATAACATGCTAATTTTAAAAATTCTCCGACGATCGTATTCTAATCGAATCTACAAATTGCTTATGTCATCTCAAAACTTATTTCTAGAACTATATTATGGATATATCGAATAGTCCAAATAGATATCGAAAATAATTTAAAGTATGTTAAACGTGAGTCTTAAAAAAAGACGTCTAACTCGCATTTTTTTTTAAAATTCAATTATTTCGTTAGCATTTATTATTTTTGCGATACAAATTTCTCAATATAATTTTCATCATTTTATTATGAAATTTTATATGGAATATAATATCAAAATTTTTCGAAATTTTACATCCGAAAAAGTCATATCCCATGTAAATTTTCGGATGTAAAATTACATGTGAATAATTTTTTTGGACGTAAATTTTCGATTGTAAAATTTCTCTCAACTGCAAGTTCGATTGGACCCCCATAACTTTTAAGGTCTGCGTCCGCCCATACTTGAGCATCACTTCTTTACAAGGGTTAGAAATATGCCTTGGAACAAAATGAAAGACACCACACCTGCCAACAAGTTAAGTTTTATTCTGGCAATTTTTGCATTAAACATTACATAAAATAAAAGGAAATACAGCCAGCAAATTAGGTTACTGAAGAACACAAAATGCAGTCTAATGTGGACCGCTTGATCTAGTGGACACCGTCAGAGGGCGGAATCCATGGCGTATAGTGGCTTCCCAGATTTCCTCAGTGTTGAGTATCGTGTCTCCACATTCATGCACATTCCAGTCTTCTAAACCATGAACAATTCCTGCTATACGCCATGCACTTATCGCCCTTCTTGGCAACCAATTCTGCACATAAACACCAATAAAATAATTCAGATATTGTAAGAAATTGTTTTTGAGGTTAAAAATGACCAAATTTTGAAATCTCTTTTGGTAGAACCCGATTGACTAATCTAGTTCAACGTAACCGATTCCGGGTAATTGTGCCCATCCCTGTGTAAGGGACGAAATCAGGAGAGTAGAGTTGTGGGAGCAAATTTCACAAAATTTTAATTGTTGGTGTAAAATTGAAAATTAAAAGGAAATTTTTTGAAAATCTTGTGTGAAATCTTGAAAAATCCGTTGTAAAATCTTGGATTTCAAATTTAGTGTAGCGGCAGCGAACTCCATTGTAGATCCCCACATGCCTGTATAAAACCATTCATTTTTCTGAGGCCATATACCACTGAGGTTTAAAAACTTTTCTGGGACTTTTCAGACATATTGTTTTCTTATTATTATTATTATTATTATTTGAAGAGTGGCAGAGAAAACAAAAAACATAGATAAAAGAAAAATGTTCGTGCCAAGCCAGCCAAAGCACCTTTAACATATTATACTGTGACAAGGTTTCTTTGTTGAGCATAATGTGCACTAATATTATGCCAAAAAGTGATATTTCAAATAATGAAAAAGAAAACATAAAACTCTAGCCAACCTCGCAAGAGTCGATGTTTTCGAGATGCTTGGGAGCCAACATCGATGGAGTGTTGTTGTAGAAGCAGTCTTTGCGTATTTTCTTTGGAGGAAATTGTGAGAACGGAATGAATATTGTTCCTTTCAATGCCTTCGATTGTTCACCTTCACTTAGTCCATCTCCCACTAACCATACCTAAAAAAATTAACATTTGCTCATTTCATTAATATCACGTAAGAAAAGAAAATACTTATATTATTAGGATTTTGCTAGTGGTACCTAGGACTGTACCCAAGGGACCCTTGGGTACAGTCCTAGGTACCACTAGCAGTGTAACCCCTTGGGTACATATTTTGATGTACCCTTGGGTACAGTCCTAGGTACCACTAGCAGGATATGTGAGGGGGGTGTAATCCCTTGGGTACAGTCCTAGGTACCACTAGCAGTGTAACCCCTTGGGTACATCTTTTGATGTACCACTAGCAAAATCCATATTATACAAGTAATGGTTTGTTTGAAGATTTCTATAGCTTTGGAAAGTATATGCAGTACACGAGTGGTACGCAATACTCTACTGTATTCCACAATTCCTTTCATAGAGTGTGGTCGAGTTCAACATACTGAGCTTGCCCATTAGTATACTATTTGAAATATATGCTGATTGCTATTAAATAGAGAAGAGTAAACTTTATCTTCTTCAACTTAAAGAGGATGGAAAACCGCAGTAAACAATAAGGAGAAAAAAGTTTACCTTTGTAACATAGCTTTTGGAATATTGGACCAAATTATTAGCTGCCTCAGTATTTCCAAGCCATGCTTTAAGCTTCTCATACTCATCTTGACGTACTGCGCTTACCTATGACCAGAAGACAGAATTGGCCAAAGCTATCCAAAATGTATTATAATTGACCAAAAAATCTAAAATCTTATTCAGTACAGCTTACCAAACATGCCCTAAACGGTTGGAGAATATTATTACTGAATAATCCTCCTCATGTTCCAAGGTTTCATAAAATAGTATGCTATGAAATTACTAATGTCTAACTTACCTGGATTCCCCCTTGACATAAGGCAAGGGAAATGGAGTGAGCAACTTTTGATAATTCACCTCGAAGGATCACCCGAGTTGTTCCTTTTGGAATGCTGTTCATCACAACAGCAACAACTAAACTACTTCCATCAACCAGCTTCAGTTTTAGCTGAGGATGCCTTCTTATATACATCTCACCATTCCTGTTGAGCTCCTTCTCCTGCATATGTAGTCAATACATTTCTGAAATTTTAAGAACTCTACATCCATTTGTGTCCAAATCTAAAAGAAGTTCCTATCTCTAAAGAGCATGTTTTGCTAAGTAAAAGAGCTGCCTGTTTTTAAAGTAGCATTGGACAGTCAAAATAAGTTATTTACTTAATTTAGCTTGGCCAAACATGCACTAAGACTTGCCTGATTCAATAAACCAAGGCTCAAAATCTTAATTCCTTTGTCCTCAGCTTCCAGTATAGCTTCTTCAATCGCACTATTTATAGATTCTCTTTGCCATTTCATGTAGTACTGCAACAAGAAGAAATCAATATCTCAAAAACGCACAATTTTTGTGTGGAACTCTTATTCCTTATTCTTAAATGAATTAAAATGTAATTTTCTTACTTGGATGCTGTATTTTGGAATAGCCCAGGTTTGAAGTTTTAGATGCTTGAAAATATTTCTCTCGACAATAAATGTGCGTCCATATATCCACGTTACAGTTGTAGACCAAAGTGTGACGGGCCAAATTAACCACAAGTACCACGTAGAATTATGAGGCCTTGAGGCTAGTGATGCAAAACCTAGACGTAGATGATATATGGATTCTGGGGTTGTCAAATGAGTTAGATGCACAACATGAGGTGCTTCCTCCTTTCTCTCGAGGGAAGTATGATATAAGAAGTTGGAGGATTTGTCTACTGTTCCATAGACATAATCGTAGAATGGCATGAAAAGGGAGTAATTGGTTCGGAATTGAGTATGATGCAGAGAGTGAAACCTGCATTAGCAAATAAATAATCAGCTGGATTCTCAAGTCTTCTATAGGAGAATCAACATCAATCAGGAAGAACGGACTGCATACGTGCATGTCATTAGGATCATGCTACAGTGACATAATCTTTAACACAATGGTTGACTTAATACTACACGACACTTCATCGTTGGACTGTGTTGTATACAGTCAATTTTTCAATCACATATTGCCAACTAACATTATGTCACTCCATCTGTCAAACACTTTCGGTCTAATTGGCATAACCTAGTAATTAAATAGATGGTTTTAACGTGATGTTGTAGCAGATAATCTTTTAACATTGTGCACAAGCCCGTGCCTTTGATTAGGAATAAAATTACTTACGAAGGCGTGTACATTATGAACTTGAGAGGGGGGAACATGGAGAAAAACCATTTGGGAATGAGCTCAAAGTTGCAGTGACCCATGTTGTTCATGAAATCAATATATGTAATATAACCAGAAAATGAAGCAATGGAAGCAGTCCCGGTCAGCACAGTCGTAAGAATTGGTATAGCGAAGAGCGCAAAATATGCAATATGCTCTGCAAATGGATGAATTACAGCTGATAAAACAAAAATAAGGCTATGGTTAGTATATATATATATATATTCTGCATCTATGAAATTCTTGTAGAAATCGGACATCCGAATTTCACTCTCCGTACAGTGCAATTTTCTATTATTCTTTTTCTTACATGTAATGGGTTCAGTAACAATGGAGGAGTGGTGGTGGGAATGGTAGCGTGAGTAGAGGAAGTGGTGGTGCAGTGCCCTGTGCAACCAGTAATAGAGGAACTCCACTGGACCAGTATGAAGCAAAATTGTCAATATCACCCCATTTGTCCTCCAAACAGGCAGATGATGACCCTCCTTGATAGACATGAACCCCAAATAGAATAATATGCCAGTAAATATTATTTGATCATCCCTGCAAAATTTTGTGAATTTCACGACAAGTTTTATTTCGTGCTTCTCACAAACACAGTCGAGGAAATAAGTATAGAGAAGTTAGGAGGGGATTTATATGTATGCGTACCAGTTTCTTTCTCTATCAACTTGCTCAAATTCGATGCTCTTATCGACTATCCTGTTGCTACCTTTTGCAGTTCGATAACGAGAGAGTGAAATCCAGAATTGGTTATGAAGCATTCTTGTTAGCAAAAATGGGAATATAGAAAAGTGAGAAAAATCCCTTTCAGCTTCATCCTCCATCATGAACGAGTACGTTGCGTGAATCACCCAAGGAGCCAATATCAGATACTTTATCCAACATTGAAAATGGAAACATATTATTCCAGCAGCTCAAATGTGAGTATGTTTATACATATATACAGAGAGAGGGTTGGGAGGGGAGGGGGGGGTGGGGGGATACCTTGAAGTTCCCAAGACATGTCCATGGCCATTCAGTGAGGATCCCTGGTTTGGAAGCCATTCTTCTTCTCTGCTAACTTGCCACCTTTCTTCCTCTAAACAACACTGCAAGCATTTGTATACACAGATATATGTAGATATATATAGACAGCCTCGTCGTATTCAGCCCATGTTTGACAACTCTTATTTCAAAACTCTTTAATTCCCGTACTCATTTTCACACAATAAAATATTTCGCACGTAAACTTAAAACTTTTTTCTACTTTTTGAGCACACGTTCTCAAAAAAAAACACCGATCAGAACTTCATTTTCTCAAAATAATGGTCATCAAGGGGCTTAATCTTCTTGATCATATCAACACCTACCAAATATCGTAAGTGGTTTATCAACTTGTTTTGATCAAAATTTTAAATGTACTCAATTCAACCTAAGCCCTTATTTGACAATCATTATTTAGGAAAAATAATGTTTTGAATATCGATTTTTTAGAAAAATGTATGTTTAAAAGTAGCAAATTAAAAGTTTTGAATTTATGTGTAAAATATTTTATTATGTGAATGTATAATTGAAAATGAATACGTATAAAACAAGATTTTTTAAATAATGATCGCGAAACATGGGCTAAAAGTGTCAATTATAAATGAACTCGGTAGAAATACTAAAGCAGGCAACCAAAGTACAACTGAGGCAGGTACAGAGATTTTTGTTACGTTGTGCATTTACTTAGCTCAACTGCCAATCAAATGGGGTTATTGAATAGTCGTACTTTATCATAGATTTCATGTGCCATTAATTTTGGGCGAACTTTGGGAGGGAATTCTTACTATCCTACGCCAATGAAATGTGCAACATATATATTCCTTATGTTTTCTTAGGCGTTTTCATCGGTTCATGCCATGCAAACCGAAAAGAACCTTTTACACAAATTTAAAATTGTGTTCGTATATATAAATCTTTTGTCGCTTGAATCGTATTATTTACTTTCGAGAACAATATCTTTCAAGATTGTCGATGGAGAAAGTTTGGCCATTTAGTGCTAACTCGATGTTTTGGTCAGCTTGTTTAATTTCCAAAACTATTTATTGACAATACATATTAATGGAATTAATTGTGATTTATCGGCTCGTGTAATTCTTTTTTTTCTCATCGTGATCGAAGTTTATAACTGACCCCGATAAATATTGGTGTATGTTTTGTTCATTTTATTTTCTTACTTAATATTGTCAATATAAATCCCTCTTCTATTAAAAGGGGGAATCCCCCATTTACTATTCATTCAGGATATATTTTCTCTTCTCATTTTATCCCTCAATAGTCAATAATTGCAGCTTTATCAAAATTGGACGTATTTGATTGTTTTTTTCTTTTATTTGTAAATTTAAATTTCTACTAATTACATAACAACAATAAATAAATAAAAATTATCATTTTCTAAATGAAATATATGGGTTAACTTTGAACATAATATGTTTTTAATAACAGATAATATTATTTATTGAATTAAGGTAAATT